TCAGCCTAGCTTTATTAATTTTTTTTGGTTCCCAGTCTTTTCTAAACTATTAATTTCATGTCCATGAAACATAAAAACAAATCATATAGCTGTAATAGTTATTAACACAAACTATCGCTTTATAGTACGTTCTCACAATGTTATATTGACCCCGAAGACCCCGAGCAAGTAACAATTTAGTACAAGAATACCGTTGTTGAATGATAATAAACTTGGTAATTCCAATAAATCGATTATACTTGATCTTGTGAACTAAAAAAATGACTAAAGACTTCGAGCCCTATTGTTATAGTCATTTTCAGATTGAAATAAATTAAATCTATACTCATAATATAAAGCGGAAGAGTTTGTTTGTTGTTTGTTAAACAAACAAACAAACTCTTCGCGCTATTCTACTGTTCCGATTAGAAAAAATATTTTTTGTTGGATAGTCCATTTATAAAGGAAGGCTTTAGGCTGTATAACATTACGCTGCGACCAATTGTTTTTTTTTTAATTCGCGGGCGACAGCTACTACTTAATATGTGGTTCTCCTAATATTCTAGCTGAATATCAGGGGTCCAGTAATTGTCTAGACACTTATTTTTTTTTATATATTTCTTTAAAACCTTATATTTTTATAACTATCAAGTGCTAATGATGTGGTTCTCAGCCAATCAAATTGATTGCTAGTTAAGAATTTTCATTCAATTGCCCATCGGAGCTTTAATTTTTTTTCTTTACGATGGTCGCCGGGATACAAACTGCCATGTACAGAAGGCATTCAAAGAAAAACCGTTGCAATTCGCGTTCCACGCTAACAGGTTAGACGAGAAACGAATGATTACCAGAAACATCATAATTGAGTTGTCCAAAGTACCCATACATTCTTGTTTCTTCCAAAAACTCATATTCGAAACCGTCTTTTATTACGCTGCAAAGTTGTTTACATTGTTTACCAAGTTTCCTACAAATCAGCTTCACCAATAAAATTATTTAATTCTTTCTAAAAATGACACATCGAAATTGAACGATTTGCTTCCGATTTTAAAGACTCGAAGAGAGATATAGCTTTTTTCAGACATTTTTTACTAATCATTACTAATATTATAAATATGAATGTTTAGATTAATGGATGGATGTTTGTTAGTTGTTCGTCTCTATATCCGAAAACGTTCCTTAAACAACCAAACAGAATCGAATGGCATTCCAAATCAAATTCGGCCGTAATTAAACTTGATTTGTTTTTATCAGACCAAGTTCGAAAAGCATAAAGCGATGTATTTCGAAATCGTTTATTGCCAACCGAAATGGAAGTTCGTTAAACGTGTCGATACATTTTTTATCAACTGCTTTGAAAGCTTATAATAATAGCCGCATGACGAACACATTTGAAGTTTTTATATCTTTTCGAAGTCTCATGTCGTAATATCTTCATTGCATTGATGAATTGTGTGTGATGGAATGAGAATGTTCATATAATTTTTGTGTCCAAGTGTGTGTGTTTGTGTAAGTCCAAGATACGAGTATATTATGCCTTAATTTACTCAAAAGAAACTGTTTTAAAAACGGTCGTGGTAAAATAGACGTGGCAATATTATGTTCACATTGCGCGACCAGTTATAACTGGTTGAAGTTACCTGAACATCATGTTTCATATTTCGAGACCGCGCCAACGGGTCAAAGTGAACAAAGTTTTCATCAACTCAGTACAATTAACATCAAATCGAATATCGATAATTCAACAACTTTATGTAAATAACCGAACCGACTTTAAATATATACTTTGAATAACATAGAACTTTAGTTATAAATTAAATCTTGCTGTGAACAGTTTTGATTGAGTTTAATTTGCATTCGAACAATTCTGGGTCCTTATAAATTATTACGATCAAAGAACTAGACCAAAAATTCTTAATTACAAATCGGTGAATTATAGCAGACTTTATTATTATTTAAAAGTGAAAGGTATTAAGGGTAATAAGATCCCACGACTTTTGATGGAGTAAAAAGAGGTCTTTGAGCCCTTTCCTATTGCAGCAAAAAAATATTTCGGTGACATTTTAATATGTATAAGAGTTGACAGTAACTTCGTCTGCGCGGAATTGGTAATAAAAATAGCCTACGTCACACGAGTATAGTGTAGCCGTTCAGTGGTTTCGGAGCCTATTCAATGCATAATTTTTCCTCTACATAATATTAGTATAGATTAGTATACCTTTAGAAGGTGACTCTATGCTTTTAATAGAAGAAAAAACCTTTTGAAATTATAGCATCTCCTTCTCAAGTCGTAAACATCATTTTAGGGTCCATAATGATCTGTCATCATACAAGAAAAATGGTCTTGCTTAAGATTATGTTTGGTAAATTACTCTTGTACATTCAGTGGTCTTGTTTTATCTAACACTATACTATACATAGAGTTTAACATTGTAGCATCAAAATGTATAGCAATTATTTTGGTACAACCGAGCGTGATATCGAAGCGCATACATCAAGTGGTCGAACAGTCACAAGCTGTCACAAGTATAATATATAGCGTTCATGTTCCCGAAATGTGACAATGAGTTTTCAAAAGCATTGCGGTAGTCAACGGAATTCCCTTAGATAAATGTATAGTAAAATGATTACAATAATTTGTATTTAAGAATGATTTTACCAATGGTTTCCAATAGATACTTCTTGCTGGCAACACCAGGTGGCAAGTACTACTTACATCGCTTGATCTTCTTATAAAATAAAATGAAGGCATACGGTACTGGTACGCTACATAGTGTAAAGTGATTTGCCAAAAGTTTTGATACTGGCAACATATTACACTGTCTCGTTTCACCATATCGTAAGATGATGCTAGGCTATATTACGCAAAGGGAACACTGGTAATTACCACTAGCAGATTCTTTGATAATTACCCAAATTAACCCCTTACTTAGAGTGATTGTGTGATTTACATGGTAAATACCAATGACCTGAACCACTTTCGCTTAGCAATAAATAACCTATCAACATAAGACCTTTATTACTGACAAGATGATCATAAGATTAATGATATTAGTAAAAAAGTTTGTCAAATAATCTGGTTAGTAATAACACGGGTTTATTAAAAATAAAATTATAATTTAGCCACAAAGATGTGACGATGGTTTAGTTGCAAAAATAAATCGAGACTCGACGTTCGGGACTTTTACTCGAATGAAAAATTATTTCGCGTTGCAAAGAAACTCTTTTGCACGATGTTTCGTGTCATTAAGAACGTAGAACATACGTGGCATTGGAAAAAAAAATACAATATTCATGAGTTTTAAACGGAGAAATTCTCAAACGCAACTACTGTTAGCCTTAGGTTTAGAAAATAAGACCTTATTAAAACTCTCTGCTTTTTGTTTTTATTTTTTTAACTAAATATTTTTTTCTTATAATATCTTATGGCCCATTGTTAAAGAGTTTCGAGTCTGTCTTCAGAACTAACTCCTCGATATTTTTTCTAAGAAGTCATTAATTTCGAATGACATAAGACGGTCAGATAATAAGATCTATTCAAATGTTCCAAATCACTTTTACTAAGGATACGCTTTCTTAGTATTTCGTTATCAGACAAAATCAATAAAATCTGTACACCAAAGCTTACCGACAAAGCTCCTAGAATTAGTTAACTGAAGTAAATGGAGAGCCCATAGAATACGTGAGAGATTTTTAGTCGATCGTAAAAATTCCGACTAAGGTTAGACCTCTAGTCTAAATGAAAAAAACCTCAAATCTTGTGTTAACCTTGAACCGGCTGTTATTGGGCATGTATTAGATAGGTATCTTCCACACAATTATTTCGTGCCGATTTTTTTATCTTACTGTTATTATAAATGCGAATATTTAGATGAATGTTTGTTTGAAGGTATCTCCGGAACGGCTGCATGTATCTTGCTGAAATTTGCCATAGATGTAGAACATAGTCGGAAAGAACACATAGGCTAATAATCAATTTTAGCGAGACGCGGGCGACAGCTAGTTTTTCATAAATCTTAAATTAAATAGCTAACAAACAGTGTTTACAAATCGTAAGAGTTCTCTGAAAGCTATCAGGATATTTCTTAGAGCGAATTACACTTAATTGTTGGTGCTGGACATATGTAAATGTTTCAGAAAAATCATCATATTTGTTGACAAACATAGCATTGTCAATGTTAACACTTCATTAACTTGCTTCTGTACAAAGCAACAAGTCTACAGATTTGTCGTTTGCATAATTTTGTTTCCAAATATTGACCATAGCTACGATGATACCATAATTGCAAACAACATTAAATTAGTAGGTAACGAAACTGTAACTATTAATAAATGTAAAACGTTATTAATAACAACAAAACATAACTCACACCCTAACCCAGAAGGGTAGACAGATCACGGACCTCCACTTGGCGCGGTTCGGACACATCTCTATCGCTTCTACATTAATACATCTAGTTATTTAATGAATTAAATTATTCTTCTACGTATATGCTCCATTAGTAAACATTAACTTTGGGTTTTGCCGTGTCTTTGCAATTTTTGCGAAAAGTGATTGTACCAATTTTATGGTTTGAAATATAGAATCCCTAATTTTATTTCTTTTTCGCTCATAAACACGTAGGTACCCTGTATGGGTGTAAAAGAAAATAAAGTTGTAAAGTATTAACATAATATTTTATTGAATAATATATCTACTTTAGAACCTAAAAATAAAATCTTGTTGGTAATATTCATTCCATTTTATATCTTGTATCTATTATGGTATATCATATAACATGTAAAACAGTACGTGTTTATTATTGTGTGATTAACGATACATGACAAACAATTCATTGTTGTATGACCATTTTCAGTTTGAATAAAAACAACGGAACTATCGTTTCTAAATATAAGGGTAAGGCCCTTTTTTCTAACTTGGCTCCAATCTTGAATAACACGCAAGGTGCGCAGGAGTCAAATAACTGAGGTACACTGCATTCTTAAAAGAGGGACGGGTGAGGGATAGCTTGCATTCTTACCGTTTTCAGGTCTTCGTTGTCAACACACAAATATTCAAAAACACAATCTCATCATTCACTTAGTCATACCAGTTTTTTTCACACACAAATTAATGTATTTGTTTAACAAAACGCCGGAATTAAAACTCACACTGTTAAAAAACATACACAACTAACTCACCGATACACAACAACTAAACTGGATTCTTTTGGCTCGCTGTTCGCTTGCCGGTCGGGCGCGCGGAATGCTATCGCTCTGACTCTTTCTGTCGCGGTATTAAATTACATCGGTCTCGTTCTAATGGAGAAAGGCGCCAATGGACGGCGCGGGCGCCGACTGTTTCCTTCGGGATGGGTTTCGACAAAACAAAAGCCCTGATGAAAAAAGCAATAGCCTGGATGTTGCCGGACCAAGGTGCGTCCATCATTATACTATTTCATTTAAGATACTTACAAGATCAGCTTGTCAATATTTTAACAAATATTTAATGGTAAACACTGCATTTTGTCATTTTTTAACTAGGTTTTTTTTTTCCATCCCAATAATTGCTTAGTCTATTTATTTTTGGTACAATAAAAGTACAATACATATTATTCCACTCGTGTTACATACCTATAACTGAAAATATATAACACCTAGACTACATTCCGTAACTCTTGGTGCAGTGGCATGGTTAATCTACGCTCCAATGCATTTGGATAATGGAAAGTGGATTGACCTCTCCTGTCGACATCTTGTTGTTGGTGCTGGCAACATTATTTATTCCAATTTATTTATTAGTAATTTTTTTTAAATGGCCTGATTTAAACATGATAATACCTCACGTAAAGCTTACTGGGATCATAACTTCATATTGTTAAACACGTCAAATTCAAATTGTTAATGCAATTCACCGTATAAAAAATATAAATAATAGTTTAAGAAATTAACAGTCATGTTATAATCAGAGGTAATTTGAAATGTAGTCAGTAAAGTACGAATCAGAGTCTTTTTAAACTCGAAGACGATTAAACACACCCAACAATCAATAAAGAGAAGTAACGGAACTGTTGGAACAAAATGGTAACAAACTTTAAATTGTGGCTACTTTATCAACAACGTTTGTTTGCAATGCAGTGTGTCTGACAGAATAAGTTTATAAGCTTTCAGATATTTTCAAAATATCTGGCACAAATAGAATATTATTGTAGGAGATTTTTATGAAACGAAACACATTCGAAATAACAAAGGTAGCGAAAGCTTTATTTTTTTCTTTTCCTTATTTTCTAACTTAATTATAATTTGTTTGCTATCTATTCATAGTTAATAAAATCAACAATTCTTTTAGTGAAATATTTTTCGTCACCAAAATAAAATTTGACGTTAATTTTGTCTAAAAAATGTACAAAAACTTGCCGTTGTTCAGAAATCATCAATTTTAATTTTGTCAGCTCAGTGGAATTCCACTTTGTATTATGATGGATGGGACAATTAACTTAGGCTCTGGATGGATTTAATTAATCGACCCTTTGAACTGCTTCCAAATCACGGTTAGGTTACATTGCATTTTCTTTATTTATTTGTTACTGAGAAAATTTATCAATTACTTTTTTTACACTACTGGCGCATATTTTAAACGGGGTCATCGATATATTTATTTAAAAAATAAAATTCAAACTAATCATGTTTTCATGATAAATTAATTCACAAATTACGAAAAGCAACGTACATGTAGCCTTTGCTGGGATGGGTGTTTACTTTTAAATCTTAGGATTTGGTCCATCATAATAGTGAGATATTCGAAACTTATAATTTAAACATTTGTCCTAAACAATATAAATTAATTTAAACACGATCCTTTATCTGTGGAGTATTTAGAGAATAAAGCTTTCTGGATTAAATACTTAGTAAAGATAAAATTTGTTTGATGGCATTAGGACGCAGTTTCGCCTTATTTTATCTACTCCTGACTCCTTATTTGAAACGTATTAATATTACAGATAAAAAATTGTTATCTACACACTAGACTAGAATAAAGTTGTCTATGTTTGAGCGGGAACACTTATAAGCAGCTTACTTCATGACATAGATCGTGCAAACATTTTGCAGTGAAAAAACTTCTGTAGAGAATATTCCGAGACATGCATACTTAAGTGTAACCTTTTACATATGATGTACAATGTGGCAGTGATTAAATGAATTCCACAACCAAATTAAATCGAAAGAAATGTTTACAAAGCAATGATCTTCTGAACGGACTAGACGTTTTTTGCACAAAGTGACTTAGTAGTTGTTTGTATGTGTTTTGGATTTGGAGTCTCCTAATCCCGATTGCAATTGTTTTTCTTTCGGGTTACTATAAATTGTTAGGAGTACTTATGTCTTAGTTAACAGCAGTCAAGTAGCTATTGGTATATTTATTTATTTGTAGCAAAAAAACTGTTTTTTTTTTAGTAAAGTCATACTTGCGTAATTTTCTCTTAACTAGTTCTGTAGATATTTTTTAATTAGTTGTTTGTCACACTGGACACAATCGAATTAAGGGTTAAACACTTTTTATAGCAGAAAACTTCGTCATTAATGTAATTATTGTATTTTATTCTAATCAAATGATAACAGCATTAAAATCTTGAACATTTCAACGGTAACAAGGCACAATAAACCAGTTTTGTTCAACTTATCGTTTGATTATTCGCTCCGTTATATTGCAATTTTAAACTAATTAAACATCAGCAAGGAATATCACTCAAAGAGCCTTTGCAAAATCATTTGAGCTTTTCATCTAAGCTGCGAATTGGCCCTTCTATTGATGTTGGGCCTTTTAATCAAAACTACAGAACTAATTTGTACGAAAGGAAATTCGCCTTTTATTTACAAAGATTTCTATTTTACTTTATCAGTGCTGCGACTTTTAAATTCTTACGCTATATGCTTATATTTTAGTGAGTAAAACGAAAAATGAACAAACATGCATTGCGTTCAAAATGTCACATCGCACAGAATAAACTTTCTACTAGAGTTGGTCCAGATGGTTAAATAATTAACTAATGGTTTGGAAAAATATAAATGAATTTGAATCTCAATTTTATTTATTGATTTAGCTATAGTCCGCTTTCTGTATTTTACTGATGACTTACCGTGGGTTTCCGAGTCCAAAATATCCGTTTAAAACGTATCGTTATCTCTGTTTTGTCAAAGATATTGAAAGAGGTAATTATATATGTTTTTTAGAGATTTTGATGTCAGAAACCCACGTTAAAAGCGGTAGGCAACGATCTGTAACTTACTTATAGCAGATGATTATGAACCCCTAGCTTTATCCCACTTCGTTTAATAAAAAATAAATGGGTAAACAGTTTTTTTCTATTACATATTAATTTGGATCCCAAAAATGCAAGTATCAATTATTAAGTTTTTTTTTTCTCAGTAATAAATTCATACTTTTAGCAACTGTTATTTACGTTTTGCTGTTATGAAGTTGAGATAAGAAGAAATAAAAACAACAATCTAATGTTCGTTCAATAATTTATTTTCATTTGCGACTGGGTAATGATAGTTAACAAATCTCAAAGACGTAAAACTACACGAACTGTTTTCTGATACCAAAAAAAATACCTAAAGAAGCAACATTTATTTAAAAAAAAACAAGAAAACATACGATAAATACAATTTTAGGTTAATCGTATATTGAAATCTTATCGTAATTGATTTATAGAGTACGCGTCATTAGAGAGATCCACTAAATCTTATAATAATAATCTAAACATTTATAATAATAGATTATAGTGTTAGTATAAATGCACAATTTTACAGATATACGTATTGTTAAAACAAAAAAATCTTCATTCGCAACCCCATAGTGTATTTTTTTTAAATACTGATAAACAAAATATACATTTACTAAATCCATTAACATCTAGATAAAACAACCCATTTTTTCTACCCAATTAAAAAAAAAACTATAGTATTGGTAACAGAAAAACAGTCCCAAACTCGCAAAATTACATTCACCTATATCACATTTTGAATTAAGACATACGCTCGCGTTATCAAGTTGGGGTTCATTGCATAATATTATAGAACATTCTGGAACGCCGCTCTTGTTAATCAAATAAATATATAAAAAAAATACCATAGCCAATTTACCTATTTTATGACAAACCATAGACGAGGAGTGTTTAAAAAAACAGATTATAAATTTGTACTAATAATATTTTGAAATGAAAATATTTAAATAATACAAACAAAATTTGTAGGATAATTTTAGTTGAAAATTATAGCATTTTTAATATAACTCAACGTCTATGTTATGTCAATATTGACAGCGATAGGAAATAAAAAAAGGCGGCGAATAATCATAGTTGAGATTTTCATCTTGAGTTGAACTTGTTCGCTCTTCATATACCTGCAGTGAAACTCTTCACTTAATATTTAAAAAAAAAACATTTATTGTGATGTAACACTTTAAACTTATTTTTTTTACAGGAATAAAGTATTTTACTCAAACACTATCAACTACAGAACATAGCCTCTATTACCTAACATACTTTTGTGCGAGACTGTATATACGAAAAGTGAACAAATTCCATATGTTTGTCAATGTAAAAAATAAATTAGACTAATAAATTAAATTTGAAAACCTATTATAATTCGGAATGTTCAGGATTCTCATCAGATATCTGCAGTGTTTCCTCACCACCGGTATCTTCTTTCTGTTCCGGAAGAACTTCTGGTTTCTCTGTCTTCTCCGCTCTGTCTGCTGTATCAGGGGTGGCTTCTTTTTCGTTCTCTATTACGGTTTCAGTTTTATTATCAGAGTCTTTCTTTACGGGTTTCTTCGGCCGCCATATCTTCATCTTGTTGACGAGATATTTTACTTCCCTGTCGAGATTAGACATTTTCTCTCGAATGCTGTCAACAGTCAATTTTATATCTTCATTTTTCTTCAATTGATTCTGATCTTCAATTGACTTGGTCAGCCAAGATTGTGTCTCCATGATTTTCTTTTCCAAAACATCAATTTCAACATCCGTAAACACATCGCGTTCAGAATTAGTGTCTTTAGTTAAATTCTTTGCCATTTTAAGAAATTCTTGAGAAGAATTAAGCATTTTACGGATCGCAGCAACGGCATCAGGTCTCTCCCTATGTTCCCAATTTTTATAGAAAATGGGATTAGTTTTCTCTCTCAACAGAGCTAGTTTTGATTCATATGTCTCTGTATCAGCTTCGTAACCTTCATCGTACAACCATTCTGATGTTTCACTGCATAACTTTTTAATTTCCTCAATTTGTTCCTGAGTACCACATTCGGCATATTCGTCCATATCTATTTTCAACTGAGCGTCGACAACGAAAGCTTCTAGATTATTCAAAGCGGATTCTCTCTCGACTCGTTTCCTATCAATCATATTCAATTCTTTGATTTTGTTTTTAGATTCTTTGAATTGATCCTGTGACAATGGTTGCAAATTTAATATCTGTTCCTCATTTTTAATTGGTTCTTTTAGTACAACCACTTTAGGTTTAGGTTTGCTTTCAGTTTCAGTTGCGTTTTGTTTCTCTGTAGTTGTTTCATTTGCCTTAGTTTCATTCTTTTCTGATTCTTTTGGTTTATCTTCTGCCTTTTCTTCAACTTTTTCTAGTGTTTCAGAATCTGAGCTAAATAGTTTACTGATTGTGCTTCCTATTTTAGACAGAGTGCTGTCTTTATCATTATCTTCTTCAGTCACAGTTTTTTCGGCTACAAATTCGACATTCACCAAATTGAGGATACCAGAATCGTCCATATTGAAATGGGCTTTAATACCTTTATGTTCAACATTATCTCCAGTATGTTTTGCGAGAGCCTCACTAACACCAGACAGAATAACCTGACTTAGGTTTAGAGAACCAATGTATTTCAATTCTGTAGATGGTATATGATCAAGCTCAGCATAGTTAACATTGAAAGAGAAGTCATCGGTGTGTTTATTGAAAGTTATTACCTTCTTTTGTGGATAAGGATTCATGGGACCAAACAATGTTCTCCTGATCTGAAATAAAAAAAATTACCTTTTACTATTTATTCAATTATTATGTGTTTTCAAAGAGCTGTATAAGTATTAAGCAATCATGAAATTATCATAATTTTAAGAGGTTATAAAATACATACCAATTTCTCATTGCCATCAACATTTCTGGTGAAAACGACCTGTATGGGCAGTAAGACCGCATCGCGGACGTTCAATGGAGCAACCTTGTAACCAGTAGCCAGAGATGCCGCCCTACAAAATAAAACAATTGCAACTTTATACAAAGTTATTATAACAAAAGGAAATTGAAAGAGAAATTTAGCACAAATGAAGTAAAAAACAATAGTAATTTATTTCATAAATATCTTACCTATACACAGCTCCCATGGTAGCGGCTTCATCAGCATTGATGGATCGAGCTGGTTCATGTCCCACCACTTTACGCAGAGCTTCGTGCACGGCAGGCGCCCGGGCTGCGCCTCCAGCCAGCACCAACTTCGCCCCCTCTCCGGAACCCGCAGCAGATGCTACCGCACGTTGGATAACTCCTGATACCCTACTCCATAAATCTGAACAAAGCTCTTCAAACTCCGCCCGGGTCACCTATAAAGTAAAGCAAAAACTGACTTATTGAACCTATGATTATGTTTGATTTAACATTAGGACTGATTTCCCTGCTTTGTACTAACAAAGAGTTCTTACTGTAATATATAATAGTACATAGAATAAAAAACAAAATAAAAATTAATATCCTATTTATAAAAAATATATTTAAAAACAGTACTCACCAGAACCTTAAAGTCTTTATCATCCAAGAGATTTTCAATCTGTGCATAATGTTCTGTATTAGCAGACAACACAATTTTCAATCTTTCCGCTTCTCTCAGTAATTTTTCCATAGCCCTGGGGGATGCTCTGACGTCACCGCCACCGTTCGCCAGCCAAGCCTTGATCAAATGCTCGCGAAGACGCAACGTCATTTCGAAACCACCCAAAGTCCTATCAAATGAAGACAAATTCTTGAAAATTTGTTTCACCGCTTTAAAAATCATTTTAAATTGCAAATAATATTAAACAAAAAAAGAAGATAGAACGAAAGAAATAACAGTTTTTGTATAAATTATATTAACGCTATATTACCTGTCAAATCCAACACCAATAACTTGCAATTGTGGTACAGTCTCCACATAACCCTTCTCCTTTATCTTGACAGTTTTGTACTCGACCAGAGCCGCTTTGGTTGATACAGCTCCCATGTCATAGAACAGTGTGTACCAAGCTGTCTCATTGATTTCCTGACAAATAATAAAAAACATAATGAACAGAATATTCAATTAAGTACATTTTACATTAATTTTATAGAAATTTAGCTATTAAAAAAACCATTTAAATATATTAAACAGAAAAATCTTGAATTAATTGAAGAGAAATCAAAATACATCAAACATTTAAAAAAATTAAAGGATACCGAAATTTTTTTATGATGTCAAATAATTAAATGCTATTAATATTGTTCCTATGTTGGATATACTCACTTTCCGTCTAAATATTCCATAGTTAATACCAATAGCAGTATAATCATTGATAAGTTGCAGTACATTAAGTCCCGCCAAAGCCGCTGCATCCTTAAGAGCTCTCCTTTCAGCTTGATTGAAGTATCCAGGCACAGTGATTACACATTCACTAATAGGTTGTCCTAAAAATACATAATCCTATTGCAATGATATTAAAAAAAATATCCTTTTTAAGAACAAGCTTTTATTATGTTCTTGTAAATTGAAAAAACAAAAAATTTTAAAAAGATTGTAAAGACTAGTCAAATGAGGCCAAACTCAATGCGGTTGTGTTGTTTAAATGGGAATCAGCACTATCTTTCAGCTCAAGAGAAATGGATCAATTTAATTTACATGATTTGCAAACATCAGGACAGGTGAAACTAAATAAAACCTATCATAAGACAAAGCCTTACAAGGTTGAATAGTTATTTATTTAGTTAGTCTGAGAATTTCCTGTAGAAATTGGGTTAGGGATAATTATCAATTATTTTTAAACTCCCAAAAGTTAAACAAAACTTCTGACACAAAGCAAAATTTTTAGCTTTTTTTGGATTACATTCATTCAATCTATTTTTTTTTTGCGCATAGTAAAGTGAAAAATAAATTAGGCTTCAGTTATTGTTCTATAAACCTGTTAAACATTAACAAGTTTTCAATTAATCCTATTAACAGAATAAAAAAAGTACATACCATGACTGATTTCAGCAAACTCCTTTGCCTTGGCTAAAAGTTGAGCAACAAGTTCTTCTGGGGTAAACTTTGTGTTCTCATCATGTACAAAAATGGGAGTACCACGGTCAGATGCCACCAAATCATAATATGGGAACCTCTCCCTATAACATTAATAATTAGGTTAGAAAACTGAATTTATAATATGATTAAGAAAAAACATTTTTTTTTTTATTTTTGAATTGTATTTCCCTCTACTTCTACATTAATTTGGATACAATAATTGAGCAATTATATGTTGCTTTATATTGTAGTATAAGTCTTACTTGTATGCTTTCACCAATGGATGATCAAATGACTTCCCCAACAAATCTAAGAAAAATTTGTATGTGTTCTTGGGGAATCTTACACCCACATTAACAGCGTCTTCTCCAAATGTTCTCACACCATCTCGAAATGCAACCACAGCCGGCGTCTTGCGTTTAGATTCCTTATTTAAAACAATCTCCATAGGTACACCAGGTGACACGATGCCTATTTTCATCCATTCCGATCCCAAATCAATAGATATCACTGCCGCACCTTCCGCATTTTGACTTAGAAGTAGTGTTAGCAGTATGGAACACAAAATAGTATACATTTTCTGTGAAAGAAATATAATTTATCAAATAAAGAATACACCGATACACATTACCGATTCCGGAAAATGTCTGTCAAATGATTTCTTTGAACAGAAAATAAAATGTACTTACAACATTTAGATCCATCCTCATACAAGAAATAACATGTATCTGATTAATGAACTAAATCACTTGTCTTATAATACTTTAATTGTTAGAAATTCTAGCACATTATTGTTTAATAAAGTGGGCCAGCTAGTTAAGTCCACGTCAAGTTTAACGTGTTTTCTTCTTTCTGGATAAGAATATTGTTGCCATTATAAAGAGACTTATATGACGTATACAGATTGTATTTTATGTTCAAGTAGGAGTTCAAAGAGGATTCATTTCCGTGAAGATTATTGATTATAATAAATAATCTTCACGAAATAAATAAGCATACTGATTACATATGATTAATTTATATAGAGATGTGTTTTTTTAAATGGCTTAGCTTTAGGTTGTTCAACTTTTTTCTGTTCTCATATTCATTTAACTTACAGCTCGAGGTAATACACGTAAGTGGAAGTTACAAAAGATATGAAAGTATATAATTAATACGATTTTGGTTGGAACAAGTCTATTGATTTTTAGAAAATCTTTAGTTGGAATGTTCGTACATAAAAATAAATTATTTTTAGACTTTAACGCACACATAAGATTAACGTGTCAGTTTCAGGCATGCGAAACTCTATTAGTCTATGGTACAAATTGAACGCAAACGGAGAGCCTCCATCTTGAAAATTGTGTCTATCCCACTCATAAGTTTCTCTATAATTTTTGGGCTGTTTAAAAAAAAAACCATAGTGCATATGAATAAATTGTGATTTAAAAATTTATAATTTCTTTATATTTAA